CGATCATACAGCTTTCTGTTTTACTTTTGTCCTGAGTCATTTTTTTCACAAGATTTAAATAACCGTCAACACGTAAGTGGAAAGTGTCAAAATAATATGTAATGAGTCTGTGTAGTGAAAAATCAGCACACACAGTGGTAAAAGTGTGTGCACATTTCTGCTCATCCTGCGAGATTTTCATTTTGTGAGCAGCATAAAGGGAACAACAGCTTAATCTCCCTGTGATGTAAAATGATAAATAAATCTACCTCGTATTACCTTGTATTCACCTACCACTGTTTCACTTCAAGTATTTCAACTGTTGCATGGTGGCAGAGACGGATAGAAACATAAAACCTTGTTATTTTTTAAGCTGTGAGACCAGAGAGGTAGAAAAGGTGGAACAGACAAAGAGACAGAGGGAGAGAAGGAGGAGAATGTGACTCAGACTGTAAACACTTGGTTGGGGTGATGTTATCCAGCTGCCATGAAAACTGATCTTGTGGCTGGCAAGTTCAAGCTGACCGTCTTGTGCCCCACACACACACACACACACACACACACACACACACACACACACGACCAACACTACTCGCACACAGAAACACAGCTGTACAGTTGTTATGACACATTAAACATACACACACAGGCATGTATACATCAGCACAAACACACATATGTACACAAAGAAGTTGAGGTTGGATAGAGGTCTGTGTTTGGAGTAAGTGAAGAGGTGAGAAGCCATGGGGTTACCGGATCAAGGCAAAATATTCAATCCTTGAGCGCACACACACGAATGGACAGAAACACGCGCGCACACACACACAAAGTGAAAAGCTACTGAGGCTTGAAATCAATCTTCCACACCTTTAACTGAAGCAGTCGGGGATCTCCCACCACACATGCGCACAAACCGCTTCTACCAGCTCAGGGAAGAGTGCCCACCCTGCCTGCTGAGACAGCACCTTAAACAACCCCATTTGTACTAATTTCAACAGGGTGAAAGAGTTAATGAGCAGTGTCACTAAGTTTAACCGCTTTTCTAGTAGGAGCTTGTCCACATCGACTAAACAGGAAACACTGACAGCCAACAGCCCAGCTCAAGCAGAGCCCATGGCTTGAAAAGTAAACAAAATCCAAAAAAGCTTAAAGTCTAAGGACATAAAATGTCTTATGCAAGTAGGTGCTAAAGGGAAAAAAAGACAAAACACACTGAAGAAGTGTCTTAGTTTGCTGTTTATGTGAAAATGCTCTCCAAAGTGGATAGATGTGATAACAGCAGCCTTGTGTTGTACAGTAGGGTTAAAAATCTTCTTAAAAATGATAATGTACAGCTGGGGTGGCCAACAATGTGCAATGGAGAGTTAATAGTGAGCAGGTTTTCATTCCAACAAATCATATCAAGTGAGTTCTTTGATAAGTCCTTCCCCTCTAACTGAAGGAGTGCTAATCAGAGGGTGGAGTCTTTTGGTGAAACTCTACACTGCTCTCCCATGCAACATACTGTTAGCCACCACTGCTTCCATCGTTTTTTGCCTGAGTTGAGAGTTAGATGAGAAGATCACCATCACTCTCATGTATGTAAGGTAAATCTGGTGTAATTAGTGAGCTTTAGATGTGCTACTATGCAGAATTCACTGAACCTCTGGTGCTTTAGGTTAAACAGCTTTGAAATATGATCTAAAAATGCTGTCTGTATTGCTGCTTCTCTATGAGTATTTCAGTCTCTCCCTATTGTCATTCTCCTGCTCTATAGAATTAAACCTAAACAGCACGTTCCTGAACACTACACAAGCCACAAGCTTAAATGTGAAGCTAACAAGCTGCAAAAGACTTCTCTCTTGCCTTGGAGCAGACAAAGCTTCCCACAGCCACACCTCTGTTGCGGTATTCTATCTTAACAGAGCCCTTAATAAAATTCATGACAATATTACCTGGAAAAATAACTTAAAAGAAAACCTCCCCTTCTTATTTCGCTTTCACCAGAGGCCCTTGACAGAACTCTTTGAAGATGCATGTAAATTCCACTTCTCATTCTCCATCTTAATTCAAAGAGCTAATATTGAGACTCCCAGACGTTACCACATGCAATGTTATCAAACTGCTCAAATAAGTCCTTGAAATGAAACAAGTGGTACTTGGCTGAAGAGGAAAGAGATGGAGAAACAAAAAAGGGAGGAGGGTAAAAGGGTTGAATGACAGGGAAAGTGACAGATCATGACAATGACGGCTGGCGGTGTTGGAGAAAGAATGACAGCGACTGTGAGAGAGAGATGAAGAGTATTATGTGAGAGAGAAAATAAGAGGAAACAAACAAAAGGAAATGTGGTGTCATTACTAGCGCCAATGTGGGTTTGTTAGGAATAAATACAATTTTTCATGTATGGTGTCCACATTTGTGGACAATTATTTTAACTCCATTTTGGGTTAATATATCATGGTTATCTTCTACCAGCCACTTGAGGACAGTGGCAGTTGGTTGATTGCAACATTGTAACAATGGTTCTCTTATATTCCAAAATATTCATTGCTTGATGACCTCATCAATCCAAGATGGCCGATTGTGATGGCCATGTGCTAAATGCCTCAGGTATATCTGTGAAAAATATTTATTAAAGGAGGTCAATCCAGGTAAAATAAATAGTACTATGTACAGCAAAGTATGATTAACTTGTTTTTGTTTTATAAATTAAAATTCAAGTCTGATTTACGTAACCTGCTAGTATATTGATTCTACTTTTTCAAAGATGTGAGGAATTGTACAGTATTATTTTATAATAAAACACACCTTCAACAAATATTTGAACATAAATAACAATGCAAAAGTGCATATTACAGCAACTTTTGACTGCTTTGCAGGTATTCACATGAAAAAAGATAAGTATTGTACTCACGTACTGTAAAGAATTCAGTTCTAACTACAGTATAACCATGTAATCTGTTACATTTGGGATGTTGATATGTTATGTCATGTGTGGCATTTTACGCCTTTGTTGCATGGTTAATTAACAGTTAACAGTTAAATTACTTTAAAATAAAATATTGTAAAAAATGTAAAAGGATTCAAATTTCAGCACAATTTTAGTATTAAAAATAAGATAATATTTTTAATAATTCATGCATGAAAATGTTGATGTTCTTGATTCTCATCCCACATCAGAACCCAACACCACCGCAGCAGACTAATTAGTAGAGTACCGTGGCTGCCGGTCCGATGAGAGCCTGTGCTCTCATTTGCTCTGAAACCCCATTAACCTTTTAGACAGACTGGTGCTTTGATATCTCAGCTGTTTACAGCTCCCATCCACTTTCTAAAAGCGTTATGTTTCAGGTGCTTGGCTGACTGCACGGAGTAAATATAGGCACTATGTAAGATTTCCCTGGAAAGGGACACACTCTAGGGGCAGGGGGTCTGCTCTGTGTGTGTGTGTGTGTGTGTCTCCTCTTGCATTTCATTACTTTTAAGAACCAAATGTACTTAGAAGGTGAGAATGTGGAAAACCCTTTAAAATGAGACACTCTCTTTCATACACAGCTAATTTACAGATAAGATTTTGTTTAAGGATTAAAATATGGTTAAGAGAGAATTTAGATATGCAGTGTACTACTATGTGTGAGTCTGTGACAGAGTGTGTGCAATAAATGTAGCATACTTGTGTATGTTTACATGACATATTAAAAGTTATGCACCCATCAATTGTGCAACAACTGCAAAAACTGCTTTTCAATTTTGAATTCAGTCACTTTTAACTGGAGCACCAAGCTTTATTTTACAACCACTTTAACTGAACACATCATTGACTCCTCATGCTAGTCCTCAATTCACCCGTCAATTTTGTAATCACTTTCACTAGCCTGATATTTCACTGCAGAACCCATCCAGCCTGACACAGAGATGAATCCTCTAAACTTCAACTCCAAGTAATGCGGTATAGATATTTTTGATTCCCCCAGATATGGCACAAAAAACATCCATCCATAACTAAATAATAGCAGTAGTAGTATTAAGTAAATAATAAAAAACAACTACAGTCTGTGTAGAAGTCAAGTCAATCGAGTCTTTTTATATAGCCCAATATTACAACTTTGTCTCATGGGGCTTTATAATCTACATAGAATACAACACCCTCCGTCCTTTGCTCAGACCTTGTATTCAGATAAGGAAACCCCCCTAAAAACCTTTAATAGGGGGGACAAACTTTGGAAAAACAACAACACTCTGCTTTCTTGTGTCCATATACAGTAATATGCCTGGCTCAAACAAATGCAGCCCAATACAACAATCCTGCAATAAATCCTACATCCATGAAGGTTATGTTCAGTTTTTGTTCGAACTGTTTTAGAGAGATGTTGATTTAACAGTATGTTCATTTTTCAGGCCACATTTTGTGATGCTATACAACAACAAACAGTTTCAACAAAATTCATTAAATTTAACTTTAATTCTAAAATATAGGTTGACAGTCATTTATTTATGTCAGTTCAGAGATAGATTTGTCCCACGCCCTTGTGTAGTCCTAAGCATACATAGGGCCAGTCATATTATCACTATCTCTGTGCTAAATAAACAAGGAAACAGACCTTGGTCACTAGAGTATGTGCTCAGCCAAAAGTATGTGCTCATTCACCAGCTGGCCCCAACGCTATTTCTACAGAATGTAAAACTACTACAATATTTCAGTCATGCCTCCATCCGCACTAGATACTAGATATCATTACTGCACCACTTTTCATAGAACTATAAATACAAATATGTTTGTATGTGCTGTTGTATGTCTATCTTTGTGAGGACCAATGGGAGTTATAGCCTGAGGATATATTGGATGGTCCTCCATTCTTCAAAGGGCTGCTTAAGGATGATTTGTTTTAGGGTTAGAATTGGGTTGAGTTTATGGTTGGGGTTAAGCATTTAATTGTGCTGGCTAGGGTTAGGGAATGCATTTTGTCAGTGATGGTTCTCACAAGTATAGGTGTGTAAACGTGTTTGTGTGTCTGTATGTCTGATTAAATGAGAGGTTTACCTGTGCCTTTGTTGCGGTCCACAAAGCAGTACTTCAGTTCATATTCTTTCAGAATTTCATGGACTTCCTAGGAAGAGACAGAAGAAGAGACAATACAAGACTTTAGCCAAGAGATCATCAAAATCCAAAAAGTCTAAACTATAATTTCATCAAAAAGATTTTTAAATCATCCTGAAGACTGACACTAACAAAATACTGATCAACTAATCTAACATTTGCTTAGTCAATAAATTAAATTTAGTCTCAAATGTGTCTTCAAATTTCATATTTAGTGTGACAAAGTTTTTTTAAATTAAAAAATTAGAGAATTTCAGAATATATAAACCATCACTTCTTGGTATTTTTATTAGATTACAAAGAATTATTATCAAAGTTGTCAGTTATGTCGAGATGAATCAAGTAATCCATTAATCATTTTCTCCTTTACAAAAAAATGAATGTGCAATTAAATATGATCAGGGAACACAACTCTGTAGTAATTGTGTTGACTGTAATAGACTTAACTATTCACAGAGAGCCATCTCACAGTACTATTTATTATTAACTAACTATCTGCTTTCAATAACACACTGAGTATTCAAATATTCACTATAAAAACTTACATAAAATTTACATAAATCTTATAAAATGGATTTTCACTTATCACACTGATGAAACCTTATTTTTGGACACTTGAGCAAACTCTTTTCCTTCACGATAAAATCTTTGATGGGAAACTGCCCAAATTGCATCCATTCGTCCCTAACTGGTCATTATGTTTTTAAAAAGTGTTTTTTTAAGATGAAAAGCTTTCCGTCTTCTGTCAGGAGGTAACAGCAGCCCACCACCCTGCACTCAAATCCACATGTGGGACACACAGACAAACACTGCTGCATATCAAAGTAATAGATCTGGAGGTAGAGTGTAGTTCACTCTTTAAAGAAATGTTAGTGACAGTATATGAAGTGAGACAGGAAAGGGAGCAAAGAGAGCAATGCAATAGCACAGCAAGAGATCACACCTGAGTGCGTGAACTCCACTGCACGTTGCTAATTCTCTGTTAGCCTTGGTATCTTCCTGATGGGTTTCACTGTTACATAGCCACACAAACTCTGTACAAGTAAACTGGATCCACAGTCACAGTCAAACCTGTCCAAGAGCACAGCAGTTCCAGGTCGAACAGGAATACGGTGTAGGCGGAACGACTGAACAGTGAGCAACATAACAAAACAAAAAAAATCTCTAACTTCGGCACTAAAACAACCTGCGAGTCACGGTCTAAACTATGTGGCAGCAGAAAGGTCACTTCGGCATAAAGCAATTATTGTTAAGTGCCAGCAGAGTCAAGATGTAATGGCAAGTATACAGTATGATGCACATCAGGCAGGACTTTGAGTCATCCTCCGGTGCAGACACACTGAATTCACCATGAGTTTTTACTTTCCACTTCTTCCCACCATCTCTCTCATTATTTTCATATGTAATTTTATTAAAACTTTTGAAATACAGTAAATAAATATGAATGGTGCGCATTTTAAAGAGCTGGTTAAAAGCAAATAAATAGGCTTCATAAATGGGCCTGAATGTGAACAAAAGAAAAAAAACAGTGCTGACTGGCATCTAGGTGTATGCGACTGTTTTGTATTGTCAGCTAATGTTGCTCAAATCCTGTGCTTTTATTCACTGTCAGCTAATGCTGGCCATGTTTTATGCTTCCATTCAAAGATGAAAACAAAGAAATGAACTTCGCATTATTGTAATGCACCAGCTCATGGTGATACAATTGTCACCTTTCACATGAGAGTGAAAGCAAAGGTTTGACTTTTCTGGGAGGTCACGTGGACAGATACTTCACAGAACACATTTCCAATCTCATTTATCACAACATTTCTATGAAGGCAAAATCTACCTCAAGCGCTCATATAACGACTGGGGTGATGAGGTTTTCTTATTTGTCCACGTTTCCCTTTTTCTATCTCTATAAACCACCATCCAGCCCACTCATGTACACAGTGAGCGAGCAGACATGTTCCTTATCAGTAAAGGCCAAGCAAGGCAGCCCACACAGAGGGTCAGCTCGCTCGCCCTTAAAATCAGAACAAAGTGAGCTGTAAGGGGAACACACAGAGAGAGGGAGAGAGAGGGGGAGAGAGGGAGAAAAAGTGTTGCATTTTTGCTCCATATCTATCAATTTCTTGATACATTTATCCTGTTACATGAGGACATGAGAGGACTGACAGAATGAATAGAAATTTACTGAAAGCAAAACAATACAAAATAAATCTAAATTCTATAACATAATTTGTTTTGTACTTAAACTATTCTCTTAAAACAAGTAAAAAAAATCTGCCAATACAGTGAGAACATTTCAACCAATGTCCAATAGAAATCAATTTCTTTGACAAAATAAGGTAACCTAGATTATTTTGACACTAGAATCAAAACAAATGAAACTTGATTTTTGAAAATAGTTTGAAAAACCACACTGGTAGATTTTATCACCAGCTTTGGGAAAATAAGATTTTAAGAACTAAATTACAGGCAAAAATTACTTTTATAATGTCAGCAGCACACACTTTATAATACAGGGCTAGGCAAATACAATAAGGATTAACAACTTAGATCAAAGCCTGCCTGAACAAAATGTAGAAGATTTAATCGAAGTGATTTAAACTGTTATTGCCAACCAAAGCTCCCCCTCTTTTATATCTGCCGATCCCACTGTTTCAGTGCTTACATGTACACTATCAATTCTTTTAATGCACTGTGTTTCTACTCTAACAAATTTCTTGGCCACAGTTTGTTGGATGGGAGAGCAGTGCTCTTGTATTAATTAGAATTCTGACATAAACTTAAGGAAAATCTCATGTCCTAAATGCAAGATAATAAGTGAAGTAAACAAAACAATAAAAAAAAGGGGGAAAAACAAGCTGTACAAATATCCCCTGCTTACATCTAAATAATATAACTGTTGTACTGGACAGAATACAGACATTGCAGAGTACTTTATGACATTCAGATAAGGTTGAATCATGCCATTCAGTGTCAATCTGTCTCTGGTGGTGTTTTATCACTCGCCCCTATGCTGCTCTGTGCATAAACCGTGCTGAAAGTTTGCTTCTCAGAGCACTGGCACATTACAAGACATTCAAAGACTATTTTTAGGAGTCCAAACTGCCTTGCCTTTTTTTTTTTTCAGCCAAACAATTTACTAGCTGAGCACACCATGCTGCACTTTTTTTTTGAAATTCCAGTTTGTTTCACCCTATTTCGTTTTACATTCCATGTTTTAATGGTCTCTTACTTTCGCTATATCCCATCACGCTGTTCTACAATGTTTCACTTTGTTTCATTGAGATTCCTACTGCCCTATTTCAACAGCTTTCTAATTAACACTGCAGTAATAGCTAAGCGACACTCAGACGCGTTTCAAAACAGCCACCGGGCTCAATAAAGACAGAGTGTGACAAACCTGCCTATAACAGCAAAATAATATAAAACTAAATCCACAAACTGCAAATCATACAACCCTGACTTTTTATTTTCAGTCAAACAGAGCTAGATTTTGTTGCCTCCTACCACAACAGAGATGGATATAGTTAACATAAACTGTGACAGACTTCTAACATTACACATTTAAAAAAAAGACACCTGTATTGCTCCACTGCAAGTCTTCAAGACAAACAGCGATAGAGGGAGAAGCAGGACAGTGTATGGGCAGAAGCAGCAAACAAGCTGCTGTTGTGTTTCCTCATCAAGACCTTTCAACAATATGTGTCTCTATGTCAAGCTGTTGTACAATAAAAGTAAGCATGTCACACTGCTGCTTGCTGTGCTATACTGTTCCTTCTGCTTGTTTGAACATTTCCAGTCCAGTCAGTCCCTCAGCATCACCCTCAAGCCCAGGGCCATTTTCTGTGGGTGCATACATGGTGTGGTTGTAAAGCAAAATACCCTGGGAGGATAGACATGATAAGGAATTTGATAACAGCCTGGTCTGAAACCTGGTAGGACTAAATGGAGCTCATGGGTATAATGTAAGTTCATGAAGTTACATGAAATCCCAAGCGCCACCCAAAACAGCTATTCATTAGCTTTACATGTGTCCACATAACGAAACCGTAAATACTAAAAACGAAACTAAATACTGCTGATGCCAACTTTTATTCACTGACCGGTGGTTACAATGCAAGCCAAAACACACCACCCCAACCTTCACCCACCTTATGTTATTTAATTCTAAGATACTGCTAACTACTATCAACAAGCTGAAAGCACACATTTTTATTTGAGCTTATTCAAGCTACTGTCTTTCTATGATATGCACGGCACATAACTATCATCTAACATCCTGACTGACAGATTTAAACAGGATTTATAATTCAGCAAAGATACACATAAATGTCTGTGCAGCTCTATGCAAAGAAGTGTGTTACAGGTGACCACAGGTTGTAGAGCCTTGCAGTGAGGAGCCAACGTGTTCACCGCCAAAATCGCAGCAACATGTTGTGCAGCCTGTTGCATCAAACAAGCTGATCTGAAGATCTGATTTGAGAAACCAATCTGATTAGCCTGCAGTCTGAACAAAGCCAAAAGATATATCATGGTTCTTTTTCCCAGCATTGGCACAAGTTAATGCTCCTGAAAAGCATAAATTTTCTCACTTCTGTGTCCACTATGGGAAATGGGCATTAAACAACACTACACTATTTTTTAGAAGACCGGTTTGGGTAAATGGTGGCCTTTGTTCAAACAGATGACATCCAATTAGCATCCACCTTGCTTCAGTGTCTTTAAACAAGATACTGAATCCTTTTCCTGCATTTCTGTATCAAACTATTTCAAACATCCCAGGAAAGCTACAGAAATCGTGGACGGAATCAGGGAATTTGACAAAAAAAACCAAATCAATTTCCATAGAGTGGAAAGTGTACAAGGTAACATAAATGTAAGGTGAGAAAGCCGAACGAGACCGATTTATTTCCCTCAACAGGCAAAAAAGAACAAGAGGGAGAAAATGTGTGTTTACTTCAACACCTGTTCATTCATTACACAAACACACAAGCGCACACACACACACATTCTCAT